AGGAATTCTTTCATTTGGAAAGAGTTCTGATCGAGAACGAGCGTCCCGTGAAATACTATGTTGAGCGTTCGGCTCAGCCTAGTGGTAACCTTATAATTTAAATTAAGTTATAATGTATTATCCCTTATACTTACAAATTTGTAGCGCTCGGTCTTACACTGAGCGTTCGTCCTCTATAGTACTCGGTCTTATACCAAGCGTTCGTCCTAATTAATTATCGGTCTTATAATTAGCGTTCGTCCTAAGAAGTGTTCGGTCTTATACCGAACGCTCGTCCTTACCTTTGATTTCTAAAGGGGCGCAAATAGCGTCCGTCCAAATGATTAGTAAATGTATATTATCGCGTTCGGTCATTGACTGGCAGTCGACCCCTTTAAACACATTGTTCTCAGTATAATTAATTATTTGTCTTGTTGTGTCTTCATTCATTTGGATTCGGCCTAGAGTCCTTGTACTTAAATTATTCTGAACATTGATTGCATATCTCTAAGAGTCGGTTCATTCAACTGATTCGAGTAGCAGTGACGTTCGTCATATAAGTATGTGTCAACTTATTCTGTTTGGCAACGAGTCTGCTAAATCTAGTCTTTAGCGTTCGTCTTCGTTCTTCAGAAGTATGAACGTTCGTTATTTTATACTTTAAAAACTGAAGATAAAGATGATGATAAATTATAAGATGTTGAAGTGTGAACACTATATTAAATGATTATACGATTATGGAATTTGAACGAGCGTTCCAGGGAGGAACGACTCTTACATATATTGAATATTAAATTTGGTAAAGTATGACTGTGGATAAGTTAAGACTTGCTGTCCATCCTGATGTTCCATGAGTACTCATCCTCATGTAGAGGGAGTATGTCATGTGTGAGATGTCCAAATCATACTCAAATTCATCATTTACATCTACAGTCATATTATCACAGTAATTTAAACATATCTCATACATTCACATACTTTTCACATAAATCACATCACAGTATATATATATATATATACATATTCAAAACATATTGCACACTCAATTCAACCCAGAATAAGAGTAGAAGAACTTAGAACCGAACACTATTGGCTGGGCACTATTCACCGAACGTTACTTAGACGAACACTATTTACCGAACGCCATCTACCGAACGCTATATTGCCGAACACTATGCCATTTGGACGGACGCTATGAGATCCAACATAATCAGGCCGAACGCTAAAAGGCAGAACACCATAATGATAGAACGCTCTTAGAACGAACAATACTAGGCCGAACGCTCAAAACCGAACACCATATTCAATTAAACACTATTCGGACGAACGCTAAAACCGAACACCTCACTCAAATTGGATACTACCCGAACGAACGTTAACATCATCTCTTAGGCTCAACACTAAAACACCAAATGTTATTAGACCGAACACTATATGAACGAACGCGAAGATTGAGCACTAAGACTTCACTGTTTGAACGAACGTTCAAAGTTCAAAGCTCATCAAGACCGAACGCTGTCTATGTCAAACACTATCTGACGACAAACATCATCGAGACTGGACGTTCGCTAAGAACGATCACTAACTTAGAACAAACATCATCAAGATCGAACGTTCGCTAACACATAGTATGACCGAACGCTTACAATTTAAACCTCAGAATACCTGATCCAGGTCCAACGCTATCAATCACTAATCACATAATAATACCGAACGCTCAAGATCAAACCTTAAGACTATCAAATTAAGACCGAACGCTCAAGATTACTACCCGAGAATACCAATTTAATAACGAACGCCTACAACCCCAAATTCACCAAGACCGAACGCTCAAGATGACTTCCTGAGAATACCAATTTAAGGATGAACGCCTACAATCCCTAATTCACGATGACCGAACGCTACAAGTTAAACCTTAGAGTACCTCCTCAAAACTGAACGCTTTAGATCACTATGAGAATACCAGTTTAAAGCCTACGATAACTATTTCACGAAGACCGAAAGCTCAAGATTGAAACCTATCAATTTAAGACCGAACGCTCAGGATTGAAACCTCTGAATACCAATTAAAGACCGCATTGTTTTACTGTTAAATGTAATTAATTCTATTATATGGTGATTACTGTATTTTGGGATGTTACACAGTACTAAGGCCTCCTTGAAACTTCCAGAAGATCTCCACTTCACCTCTCCCAGATCTTGCAGCAAAGCTTTTCACTCCTCCAGATGCAGAACCCAACACCCCTTTGAATCCAAGGGTTCTTCTCTTAAAGGGAAAGAAGGCCGTGCACTCTACTGGGTGGTCCTAGCTGGACTAATCTCAACCATCCCCTTCCACTTCTCAGTGCCAAGTCCACTATGAAGGTAATGATGGAGGTTTCCTGGTGGTGGCTGGAGCACTCAAGATGGAGAGACCCACCACTCACAGCTGCTGCCCACTTCGTTGCTGGACGTGGAGCCCCTCTTCTTTCAAACGTGCAGCCGCCCCCTTCCCCACTTCTTCTTTTAAAAAGGACGTGCGATCCTTACATTATTATTTAAGAAGGACGTGCGGACCTGGACACTGTCCTTCAAGTGTGGGAACAGTATACACTCGAGAGCAACCATCTCTGTACTGAATCATATAATATTGTTATGGCTCTCTATGCTCAAATGGGTAAGGACTCGCAGGCTGTACGAGTTTTTCAGGGGATGATTGATGAAGGGTCTCTGCCGAATTGCAGGAGCTTCACTATAATAATCGAGCACCTTGTGAAATCTCGGAAGTTATCGGAAGCAATGGAGGTTTTTAATCTGTTGCCTTTGAGGAGGGTCAAACGCACTTTGAAGCAGTTCTCGGTTCTGCTAGAGGGTTTTGAAGGTAGCAAATGGTTTGATGAAGTGAAAATTTTAGTTGATGAAATGCAGGTTGATGGAATACTTCCTAGTAGAGGCGTGAGTTTGTTGCTGCAGCAGATGAAAGAGGAAGGAATTCTTGAAGACAATGAGCAATTACTGCGAGGAATTTTTCCAGATGAGAGAATCAGGAGTGTAAGTTATTCTGTTGATGGTGGTGACGGGGATGATGATGAGAATGAGAATAAGGTTGAAGACGAGAATATAAATGATGCTAGTCAATGTGATCTTGTTGATGGAGTTCATTTAAAACCATGGCTGGACCCACGGGCTTTGGCAAGTGCCTTACGGAATTGGAGTCCTGATGAGGTAGCAGCACTAGAGGGTGCAAACTTTGTGTGGACAACAGGGTTGGTCTGCAGGATGCTTAGAAATTTCAAAACACCAGAAGCTGCATGGAGTTTCTTCTGCTGGGTTGCTAATCAAAGTGGATTTACTCATGACATATACACCGTACAAAGAATCAAGACCCTACTGGCACGACATGAACGTACTGACTTGGTTAATACACTCATCTCCAAGATCAGAATGGAGGGAATGAGACTACCATTCAGCACCATCAGGCTGATCATTGACTTTTATGGGATTTCAAAAAATGCTGATGCTGCTAAGAAGGTTTTAAATGACGACCGAATACTTTGCGGTCCCATATCAAATGTAAACCTGATGCTTCTGTATTCGTCTGTTCTAAGAACATTGACTAAGTGTGGAAGAAACTCCGATGCCTTGGATATGCTTGATGACATGATTTTAAATGGTATTTGCCCAGATATCCAGACATTTTCAGGCCTAATGCTATACTTTTCACAGCTTGGGGACATAAAAACAGTACCAAAGCTCTTTGCAATGATTAGGCAGAGTGGTCTTGAGCCTGATGCTTATTTATTTAAGGTATTAATCCAAGGTTATTGCAAGTCAAATAGAGCTGCACTAGCATGGAGGCTCTTTGAAGATGTAAGGCGCGTACGTTCAAATTGGTGAGTGAAAGTGGACGTTCGGTTTTGTGGTTAGCGAACGTTAGCGTTCGTCCAAAATGACTCGTACGCCAAAATATGTTGAGCGTTCGGTATTAAGTTTGACGAGCGTTCGCGTTCGTATATTGTGAGTGTAGCGTTCGTCCTATGAGTGTAGCGTACGCCCTTAATAATGATTGAGCGTTCGTCTAAATCCTCCTTTGAGCGTTCGTATAAATGTATAATAGATTTAGAGCGTTCGTCTATGTGTGTAATGGATTTTCAGCGTTCGTCTGGGTATAAATTGAGCTTGAGCGTTCGTTGTTAAATGGGTATGTATAAGTATAAATCGTGAACGTTCGTTGTTAATTTATAAAAATAGCGTTCGACATAATTTAGTATTATCAGGCTTGAATCTGGAACGTCCGTTATGGTTAGTTAGTGACTGTAGCGTTCGGTTTCATTTCTGTATTAGTAAATGAACGTTCGGTTTTAATGAGATATTATGAGCGTTCGGTCTTGGCTTGATTAACGTTCGGCCTTTGTTTTGTTCTGATGGTGAACGTCCTGCCTCGGTTTTGTTGAGAGCGTTCGAGTTCAATTTAGACTCTAAGTTTCAAATCATAAGCGTTCGTTCATGGATATGATTGTTAACGTTGGGCCTCAGGTTGGTATTCTTGGATTTGAATCTTGAGCGTTCGGTATTATTATTATGGGATTAGAAATTCTTAGCGTTCGGCCTGTTGATCTCATAGCGTTCGGCCAAATAGTGTTGAATCCAATTAGACGTTCGGTTTTGACGTTCGGCCTTATTGTGTTCAGGCGTTCGATTTTGGCGTTCGGCCAAATAAAGTTGAATCCAATATGACGTTCGGTTCTAGCGTTCGGCCAAATAGTGTTGAATCTAATATGACGTTCGGTTTTAGCATTCGGCCAGATAGTGTTGAATCCAATATGACGTTCGGTTTTAGCGTTCGGACTAAATGTGTCCAGGCGTTCGGTTTTAGCGTTCGGTCAATTTTTGTTCAATCTCTTAGCGTCCGTCCAAATAGTGTTCGGCTTAGTGTTTTGAAAATGACGTTCGTCCAGTAGCGTTCGTCCCACTGTGTTCGGTGAATAGTGCTCGTTCAAATA